CTTTGGGGGCCCCCCCCCCCCCCCAGTCTGGCACCTGAGGAGGCCGCCTCAGTTCACCTCACGGTGAGGCCAGCCCTGGGGGCAGTGCTATTTATCCCCATTTTTCAGATGTGGCCTAGGTTTAGATTGAGACTTGTCCCGGGTGATGAGGAAGGCAGTAGCTGAGCTGGGACTCTGGAGTCATTGTCCAGTGCCTCATCAGCTACCGATCGGGTCCCATATCCTGTAGAATACGGCCCCTTGACAAGGTCTGATTTTCGCTCCTGTTTGCCTCCTGATCCCTGGCTTTCCCGTTAATCAAGAGGAAGATATTTGATACCCAGCCATGAAAGAGACAACACTCTTTTTCCCCGACCCAAGTTATTACTTGGGTGATTTCACAAAATGGCAGCAAAAGCATTTCTTGCGACGTTTTTCAGTTTGGTGGTACTCACTGCAGGGAATGCCAGGCCCACCCAAGTGATATGCCGAACAAATTTCAGATCTGCCTAGCAAGGAATATTTTAATTGCAAAGTAAATAGTGGAAATGGACACAAGCCACAAGGTTTCAATCCAAGCCTCATTGTTTAACAACATTCAAATTGACAGGGTTAATGGTTTGGCACACTATGGAAATCAGAGCCAGCTAAAAATTTTGGAGCTGGAGCCAAACCTCTTTAGAGGTGCCACAATTTGGGTTGATAATTGAGGGTTTTTTGCCTCATTGCTTTCTTTTGGATGTGTATGGAGACATCTCCCTGTTCTCCATAGACTTATAACCGGTTTTTGTTTTATGAAATCATTAGCAGTGTCAGGGGCTACATTACCACAGTAGTCTTGGAGGATTGCCTTATGAACTTAAAAAATGTACATATGTAGTAGCCATATATGCAGGTTTTGTTTTTTCCCCTCTTGCAGGGAGAAGGAGTTCAACAACTTCGAGAAGCCCTGAAGATTTTAGCTGAGAGGGTGTTAATTCTAGAGCATATGATAGGAATTCATGGTGAGTATGTCTCAGCCAGTAGCTTTTCTGGAGAAGTTAGCTATCGCTCGGTTCCCATGCTGTCTGCTGGAATTGGCTTGTTCTAGACTCCTAGAGCAGTGTTTCTTAAAATTTTTAAGACCGAGGAACACTAAACAATATTTTGTTATGAGGAACACCAAGGATTTTTTGTTGACGCAAAAGAAATGGGGGGGGGAGGGGAAGGGCCAGAGGACAGTTATTGAGGGGAAAAAAGGGGTCGGGGAAAAGTTATTAAACAAAAAAATTTTTTTTAAAAGGTAAAAAGGTTGCCGGCTGACTTAAGGGCAGCCATTTTGAATTCTGTTGTTCTCCGTGGCACACCTTCGACTGCCTCGTGGCATACCGATGTGCCGTGGAACAGAGTTTAAGAAACACTGCTCCTAGAGTATGACTTTTCACCTGGCTTCGAGGGCTAGTTCACACAGTAGCCATTTAGGTCAGGATTTTAAAAAACTAGGTGCCTAATGTGAGGCTCCTAAATCTATAATTGGGTGACTAATGTGCCTGAATTTCACATATGGAGGGCCTGCAGCTCCAATGGAGTTGCTCTGTCTTCACACCAGTGCCCACAGACACATTTGTATTACAGTCCGTAGTACCGCTCCAGCTCAAGTTGCATTGTGTTCTGCTTCATGCAACCGCTACGAAAATGTTCCCATTGCAGAGTCTATGGACCAGATACGCAGCTGCGATCACTCGCCATAGTCCCCTGACTTCAGTGGAGTTCACTTACATCAACTGAGGATTGTGCCTTCTTAATATTCATCATGTCTGAAAGGGAAAGCAAGCCTGTTAGCCTGCAAACCCAGGCAGCTCCTCTGATTAAAATTCAGAGAACACTGATTTTTGGAAACATGAGACGCTTAGATTCATGAGTTCTCGTTATTGAAAATGAAGCCCTCAATACTCGGAGTGATTCAGTTGAAGCCATTTCCCTCCCCACTACTACCGTTTGTCAGAGGAGGAGAGTTTTCCGATTCGCAGAGCTCAGAGTTTTCTCTGCTGTAACAAAGAGAAATCACTTGGTTTGGAGCTGGGACTCCATTGACAGAGATATAGCTTGCTATGCATAAGTTTTTCCTACAGAAATGGAGTAAGGGCAAAATGTTTTGGATATGTTTGCCATTGTGCCTTTCAGAGGTTGATTAGGGCTTTTGGCATCAACGCAAATGCTTCTTGGCCAAGCACCCTTTACTTCCTTCAGTGCAGCTGACATGCAGGTCCTCGCAAGATATATTAAGCAAGGCACAACCTTGCCGTCTTCTAAATCTCTCTGCAAGATCCACCCCCCCAGGGACACACATGACAACAGATCACAGTCAGTGGGGATCTCGGTGGGTTATATGGCTTCAGTGAAATTTTCAAATGGACCAAAGGGACTTAGGCACTTAGAGCATGCGTCTAATTGAAAGTCAATAAAAGTCAGCCTGCTAATTCTGGGTCACTTTTGAAAATAGGGGTTAAGTACTTTTGGAAATTTAACCCATGAATGTGTTGATTTGTCTTGGCCTTCCTGCCCCCATTCTTCCTGACTTATTACTCACTTTTTTTGTGTGTGTGTCTGTTTTTCACCCTGTATGAATAGCACCTACCACAATCAAGGCCCTATGATTCAAGCCTCTAGGTGCAATCAAAATACAAAGAACTAAGAACCGGGGAACAGGGGAGTCTATGTTCAAACAACAGGAAAGCAGGAAAGAGATTATTTTGGGGGAAATTCTCTATATAGATGTTCACATACAGTCAAGAAAGTAGCCATAATCTATAGGGCCTGTTGTTCTCTCAACATTTACATTATTTGGATATACAATTGCTTCAAAGTTGAGGACATTAAGATGTTCTAAGCCCAGGCCAAAAGCGGGAATATCTACTCGCCTTCCAGCTGTTCAGCACATTGGGAAACATACTTGATTGTTCAGTGAGGAATTCGCAAAATACTGACATCCTGGTTGGAACATGATCATGTGACAAACTCTGCATTATTAGTGATCACATCAACTCATGACTGGCATAAACCTGCTCTAGTGAAATGCAGCATTGTTTGGTACTGACACTTTCCTTTGGAAGAATACACAGGCCATCTAAAACTCCAAGCACTTGGTGTTGGATGTGATTCTCCAATGCCCTTTACTTTGAGTATCCATTTATACTCACATAAATTAATAAGATTTTATAGCAGTGTAATTGTATCAGTTAAGGGGTGACACTTACCAAACATAAGAATTGATTTTATATTTAATTTGAGACTTTGTCTCAGTCTACGTTTATGTACAATTTAAAAACATAAATACATCACAAAATAGACCCTGTGCCAAGTAAAGGCTGAGCAACTGCAAGGCAACCCAATGGGAAAGGCCTCCATACAAGGAGGAAGGAGAAAAATTGTTCTCCTTGACCTCTAATAATAGGATAAGAAGCAATGGGCTTAAATTGCAGCAAAGGAGATTTAGGTTGGATATTAGGAAAAACTTCCTAACTGTCAGGATGGTTTAACACTGGAATAAATTGCCTAGGGTGGTTGTGGTATTTCCATCACTAAAGATGCTTAAGAGCAGGTGGGACAGACCTCTATCAAGCATGGTCTATGTGGTGCTTGGTCCTGCCATGAGGGCAGGGCACTGGACTTGATGACCTCTCGAGGTTCCTTCCAGTTCTAGTATCCTGTGTTTCTGTGGTAAACTGGCTTCAGAGCACTTCCTCAGTGTTAGAAAATGCAGGTTGTTGGATCAGTAGAGCCCTGCAAATCTGCGGATATCCACTTTATATCATGGATGTGGATGCAGATATCCATGGCTTATTTTGCAGATGCAGATACAAATTTTGTATCTAGTACCCTGCAAATTTGAAGATATCAGCTTTACATCTGTCGGTATCTGCATCCATAGCTCATTTTTGCAGGTACAGATGATGATATGGATACAAATTTTGTACCCACACAGGACTTTATGGACTGGTGAGGGGAAAGCAAAGTAGATAGTGGAGGGCCACTCAGGGAGGATGCCCTGCTCCCAGATATTTAAATTAATTAGTTCCATCCCTTCCATTGATATCAACTACTAGGAGACCATGTTTAAGGCTACTAGGTCTTAGAGCTTTATAGATTAAGACCGACAATATGAATTGCACCCGAAAATGAGTCAGAAGCCAGATCTGATTGTTGCACAGAATTTGCCATTCGTGCTGAAATACAAAGGTTTATGTTATCTTGGCATAGGGTTAGGGTCAATTTCCCAGTGAACTCACCTATTTATATAAATAATTGGTGTTAGAGGCCCTTCTTGTTCATTCTTTCATGCAAAAGATGGTTGAATGCTGTCAGCTGCTTAGGGTGAAACCCAGAGTTTTTCATTAAATAGTACAGAAAGATCGCACACGCAGTGTACAAATAAAGATCTAATTGCATGCAGTGGTGCCAGTGGAGTGAAATTGACATTTACTGAGCAGATGTAGCCCCCACAAGCTATGAGGCCACTCGGCAGTGAAAGTCAATTTAAAATTTCTTACAGGTACTGTCCTATTGCAACCAGGGTCCCTGCCAGCTTTTAAATAGCTCACTGCTGGCTTTTGCTGCAGCTCAGCAAGCTTTTGCCAGAGCTGTGCACCAGGGCGGACATGCTTACTTTCACCTCTGAGGCCACCCCACCATTTTAATCAGCCGACACTAAGAATCGAACCCAGCTCCTCTTCTTGGTATTGAGATTTTCGCCATTGACTTCAATGCAGGAAACCCCAGCTGAAATACCACTTGCATGCTCTCATTGTCAGACAAAGCGCCAGACTCCGTGTGGTTTTGGAAACCAAAATAGCCACCCAGGCAACAAGGCAAAACATACCAACAAAAACTTTTCCCCACGCAACAGTATAGAAGGGTGAGATAATCAGAGCATATTGGCCAGCCCTACAGCACAGAACAGCAGGACGTAGGAAAAAGCCCACTTTTGGGCTCATTTCCAGCTAGCACAGCACAAAGCCCTAGGCACTGGGATACGCACATACACTAGAAATGCTGCCCGATGGGAACGGACCAATGCTGGAGGTCTGGCTAGGAAGGCTGGCCTCCTGGCAGTGAAACAAACAAGTGCCCATTACTGAGGGCAAAAGGAAAGAAACAGGTGTGCTAAATAGGGGTTGCATGTCTGAGAACTTGAAAAGGGCTGGGGCCAGAGACCAAATATACAGTTAGCTTTATGGCACAGGATTATTGGAGAAAGGCTCCTTCTTATGGGCTAATGTCTAAGATGTGGGGAGAGTAGCCTGCTGGGATTTGTTGCCAGCAGTTGCTAATTAGCTGTGTGACTTGGGGGAAGTCTCATCACCCAGTTATGCCTGAGGTAGCCCATCTATAAAATACTTAGGAACTCTTCACAAATGTTGAGTCTTTATGCTTGCTTAATAAATATTTAAATTACCCTTGGTACATCTATAACTGCTGCCAACTAAGGTCCACCAGGCACTGCGATCATTAATCGTGTTTATTACGGTGCTGCCTGAAGATTAGCCAAGAATAAAACCTCTTTGTGCTAGGTGCTGTACGAATAAAGTAGTAGGCAGTCCTTTCTCCAAAGAAACAGGGGAAGGAGTCTGGCACACATGCAGAGTGAGCTATGGGATGATGGCAAAGGTCAGGTTAGTTCCCTTTGTTTTGGGAAGTGAGGAAGCAGGAAGTAGGAAGGAAGGCATCAGCTGAAAGGAAAGAAAAGTAAAGGGAGAGAAGAGGAGGAAGATGGGCAGAGAGTTTGTTTTCTTCATAATAGAAACCCCTTAGGCCTTCAGCACCGTATATTGTTCCTTGCTCTGCTCCTCCCACTAAATAAACTCTCCCTTGGTTTCATCTCCTTTCAGATTCTTTATCTTCCATGGAGCCGGGCTCAGGGCAGGAAGTGATCGCAGGCACCTCTCTACGAACGAGCATCAAAATCAAACGCGGCGGCCCCGAGCAGCGGCACCACCCCTATCACCTTCTCTCTTCACTGCTGGAGGACAGTGAAGCCAAAAGGAAAAGCAACTGAATGAAACAGGAGCATTTGTGCATTCTACAGCCCCTTCACTGACTAAAGATACAGTATCCTAGTGCTTAACCACCGCATGCAGAAGGAAGTGGGTAGGAGTCTGCAGGGTTAGCAGTAAGGTTTCCATGCCTGGACACTGCTAAACTACTCCTGCAAGGAGTGTCTTAACTGTAGCTCAAAGGTTCTTACGAAGAGCAATTCCTCTTCCCCCTACTTCCGAATACACCAAATGGCAGGCATTCTTAAAAGCCATCCCTGGAAATGGATAGTCCTTAGCCCTCTTCCAAGAGCTTGCAGCTCCCCCCCTCCACAAATTATTTGTTTAAAAGACTGCACAGCTGGCTCAAACATCATTCATTCTACCCTAGCTCAAAGCAAAGTCCCCGAGCAATATTTTGGTGGCATCTGGTTATTTTTAGACATGTTTTATTTTCACAATATAATTTCCAGTCATGCCCCTTTCCATACACTACTAAAGCCACGGAAATATTTCCTTTTATAGAAAAGAGCAAAAAACACGAAGAAACTTTCACCTCTTTGTGGAGTGTCTTTGTTTCAGATTGTGTTGCTTATTCAAAATCTCTGGCAAATTTCATTTATTCCTGGGCTTTCTGGTTGAAATTTAAAATCAGGGAGTTGAGTTGTGTTTGGTTGGTTGTGTGAATGGAGTATTCTTTTTTTGTTCCCCGATTGCATGAATAGTTTTACTATCCAATTTCTGGTATAAATAATGAACGAATGTAAAATTATTTCCCATGCATATTCAAGTGTAAAAGATCGAAATCCTTTTGGCAAAACATTCATAGCAAGCAAGACAAAATTGTAAGAAAGCTTGCATAGAGTGAACACAAAATAGGTATGAACGCAGCCAAGAAGAATTCAATTCTTCTTAGGAACAAATATACACTGAAAAGGTTTTGCACTATTTACCCAGCTTTAAATCAGAAGCCAGAACTCACTATATAGTTTTTTATTTATATTATGGATATTTTTAAAAGTATCCATCATCTCCTCGTGGTTTGAATCTGGAGCATCGTGCTGGCAAAACACAGTAGGAGGATTAGACTCTTACCAGAGGGTTGTCTTGTGATCTTGCAGCTAAATGCCCAATCGTTTTACTTTTTGCAGTAGCTCTTATTATTGGGGAGACAGACTACCCCTATTAAGAGGCCAAACAGGAATTTCACATCTGCTGTCAAAACAAATTGGACAAGTTAATGTTACTCATGTAGTCAATAAAATTACTTTTTAATAGCAGGATTGGATGACCAGAGCAACTGATAATAGGTTGCAGAATTTTTCATTGTTCAGTCACTAAAATTCTTTCCAAGGCACCAGTGAACAAATGTTGTGTGTCTGTTGTTTGGTGACTTAAGTGAATTCATAGCATTACTCAGGCTAGTTCCTAGTGCAAATATATCAACATCAAAAAGGCACCCTTGTAATTCCTTAGCAGCTTTGTTGGCAATCTCAACAGAGAAATCAAGGACATGAATGGTGCATGGAGACAGAAGTACTCTCTTACTGCTAAAGGTGGTCTTCCCAGGTCAGAATGGAGGCATGCTGAAAACTGGGACCCGGCACAGCCTATGGATATGTAGTCCATGCCTACAGTTTCAGTCTGACTTAGCTTAACACCAGTTTAAAAAAGTGTGTGTGTCTGTGTGTGTGTGTGTGTGTGTGTTAATTCTGTGTACATACTTACACACACACACACACACACACACAGCCTCTGTGTCTAGATAGATACCGATAGCAAGAGCTTGACAAATAATGCAATTTACTCACCCGTGGCTAGTAGATTGCAACCCGGAAGAGCCGGGTTTGGGTCATCTGCATATGCGCACAATGATCTGCGCATGTGCAGAATGATCTGCGCATGCGCAGATCTCAGGACAGCACGGCTGGCGAGCAGGGGATTGAGAGGAATGGTCACTTCTAGGACAACAAAATAAGGTATTCAGAGTAGATGTTAGCTGCAAGCCCAATGCTGCATCCAGTGACAATGTGTATATAAATAATTCGGAATGAGATCAGTAGTTTTTAGAAACAGTTGGCAGCCATCTCTCAGTCTAAATACAAACATGAATGCACAGAGCACAACTATACCAAGACAGGTGGTAGACAAACAAGAAAAGCCCCGTGAACCACCCTAAACGTATTTCTTCCACTCACTCACGGAAGTGGAATAGAGTTATAGAAAGGGAATTTAGATCACGAAATCTTGTGGAAGGACAGTGGTTTATAGCAGAGCCATGCCATGCTTACGTTAATTTTGTTCCTGGGCTGGTTGACGGTTTCCTTTAAAAAAAAACTCCCTGACCACGTATTTTTATATGTCTGCCTCTGGTGAGACATTTACAAAAGGTGGTTGATTACTTCTGTTGATAAGCTGAGGTCCTATCCTGCATCTATTACCAGGCAGAATGCTAACTATGTGTTCAGGGAATAGGTCACTGACAGCATGTTTACACTGCAGCATTATTTCAAAATAACTCACATTATTGAAGGTGCGTGTCTACACAGCAAGTCCGGCTTCTTATTCCGACTTCTGTAACCCTCATTTCACAAGTAGTAAGGGAAGTCAAAGGAAGAGTGTTCTTCCTTCGACTTCCTGCTATGTAGACAGCACCAAAAGTCGAGTTAAACTACTTCAAGTTCAGCTACACAATTAACATAGCTGAAGTTGCGTAGCTTAACTCTTTAGCCCACAGTGTAGACGTGCCCTGAGACATGAAGAGAAATCAGTTTAATGAAATGATGTATGCTGGTCATGCGGGCGTGAGCTGCATTTCATCAGCTTGCTAGGGAAGACTTTTCCCATAGCAGGATTTCAGAGGCAAAGCCTCAAGCTGATCTTTAAAAAGGGAAATATCAATATTCTATTTTGATGAGTCTGACTGTTGGATATAATTTGGGAAGGGGGAGAGAAACTATGCAGTGGGTTCAGTTTTCCTTGAGCTTTTGGAGACTTCCAAATGAGTTAAAGGGGACAGGTTTCATTCCCACAGATTAGTATTTGGGAATTAAAAACCAATTGCATTAGCTTGATGAGTAGCCTCTTTAGTTGATTCACATTTGACTAGCACTCTGGGTTTTAATTAAATTATTCAAAACAACTGAATAAAGTAAGATGAAAAAGTTAATTGAAATTGTTTGCAATTAATCCTACCAGATTGATTGGTTGTGAGAAGGCTGGTTTAGGTTCAGATTGCAACACCATTTTAATTATCAGCTTTCACAGATTTCTATAAAGACCTATATATTTTTTTGCTTAGCTACACCTATTAGTGTGGTACTGTATCTTTAATCTGGGTAACAATAGGACCATATAGTGTGGACATTGTCACTGGACTAGGGTTAAATTCCTCACTATTAAGTCAATCAGACCATACTGTGGTACAGTCTTAGATTTGAAAGTGAAAGGTGAACTTAGCCTCATATGTTGACATAAATGATATTTGTGACGAAATAAACCAATCTAACCACAGTTTCCATCTTAGGCAGGATACTAAGATTCATTAGCCTGAGCATATGCATTTTACCATCTCTGTGTAATTTAGGGGGTGGACATATTTCAAATGCGTGCTCATTTAGAAATATACTTTAATTGAAATGTTAGTGGTTTTTTCTTACATGCATATTGTGCAATACCATAGTGTGTCCTTTTGCCTTTAAACTTCTTTGCAATTTTTCAAGTCCCTCTCTGAACTCCGATACTTTTCGACTTGAATTGCTTCTGGGAGTAGAAAAACACTTTTTTCCTTGCCTTGAGCTAACCTGAAGCACTGTCTGTATATTGCACAGTATAATAGGTGTAGTTTGTGCACCCCGACTTTCACTAGTGCACTGATACTCTTTGGGGAAATAGGGTATCCAATAGTCACTTATTCTAAAGACTTGACAGCAATGCAGAAAATTAAAAATAAGCTAGAAATAAGGGCTGTATCCTGCTTCAGCTGCTGTGACAGGCTCTTGCAATTGACTTTAATGGGAGCTGGCAGAGGACACATGTTCAGATCCAGATCATCAGCTGGTGTAAACGAGGACAGGTCCAGCGATGTCGAAGGAACTATGATTTACCCTAGCAGAAGATCTGGCTCACAACTTTGGATCTAGGTTCTGTTCCAGTCTATAGAATAAAGTAGAAATAAAGAATAAACTACACTGATGGTTTCAGGAGGACAGACAGAAAAACCCTGGGAGTACACAAAGGTAGGTTCTTGACTGACTAATTGGAAATTCCCTGTAGTCCACAAGTTATGACCTTTACATTGGTCAAGATTACATTCCATTCTGCTCCAGCATTTGGGGGGAAGAGACATTAACTACTATTAATTCTGAAATGCAGTGAAATCAAAGGTGCTATACATGTCCATAGAGCACATTCCCAAATGTAGAAGAAAATGTTAACTTCTTCACAACTTATTTTACAGTCTTTTTTTTATTTATAGCCGTGTGTTTTGTGTGTGTGCAAGGGGGTCCCAGCTTTTATAACCATAATAAATTCTACAATCATTTGATCTTTTATAGTGAAGTCATATGTGGCATTTTGTGATATTGTGTGTGATTTTTTTAAGAGAACAGTAATGAATCTCTTGTGACATAATGAACTCATTTATGACAGGTTCGCACATTTGTCATCAGACTTCACTAAAGGACTATATAACCCACCCACCCACCCCCCAACCTGTTAGCTCCAGCCCTTGCATGGTTAATTCTCTGTTTTCATATTGCTATATTATTGTTCATGGTATCTTTTCCTCTTTGTTTGCTATGGGGTTTGTTACTGTATATGGAATGTTTTGTATTCAGCATTTTTTTTTACAGAACAAAGTGGGAACAATACTCAAGAACCCACAAATACCAAAGACCTTTCATGTAATGCACTGAAAAATAAACATACTGTAAGTGAACATGGCCTCTGGTAGCTGTATTTCAAGGTCTTTGGCTGATTCTCTTCCCAAAGGCCACAATCTCGTTTTTACCACCTTCACTTTGACTATGTCTACCCTATTTGATAAAGTCTAATTAAGATACACAATTTCAGCTATGTTAATTGTGTAGTTGAAGTTGAAGTACCTTAACTCAATTTTTGGTGCTGTCCAAACTGTAGGAAGTTGAAGGGAGAACACTCTCCCTTCGACTTCCCTTTCTCCTTGTGGAAGCAGGACTACCAGCATCAACCAGAGCAGCCCCTCCTAGTTCAAATTAGTGTGTTTTCAATAGACCCACTAATTTGAATGCTCAAAGATCGACAACAGCAGCTTTGATCTTCCCTGCTGTAGTGTAGACATATCCTTTCTCCCTGACTGCCTTTTGTATTATTGTAAAAGGTTGTAAGAACCGTTGTCTCCTTGGAACAGGTATCTAAATGAGGGACTCAACCCAACTCTTAGTTTCTTGACTGAGATCAGGATGGCAAATCTAGCAGTGTGACAGGATGGTGTTCTGAAGGCACCCATGATAACTGAAGGCAGGTTGGAGTGATTTCTTTGCCTCAGATAGAGTCAGCCCTCTCATGATGATGTTAAGCCCTCCCAGCCAGATATGGCTTAGCCCTGGGGTTTGTACAAATAATGTTGGAGAGCAAATGTTCTGTCTCTGGCCCGGTTCACACCTACTATCACAGCGTTTGTTTGTTTTTAAGTGTTCACTCCCCACTCTCCATTTGCAGCTCTAACTGAACACGACTAGGATAGAGTGTGCACTTCTCCAGCCAAATCCTTCATCCATACCACACCTGCTTCCAGGGACACTGACAGGGCAGGGCAGAAAAGGAGCAGCTGCCCTGGAATCGGGTGATATAAACGGTCCCTGGACTTGGCAACAGCAGCCAGAGCCCCACTCCCTTTATGTTGCTACCGGAGCCCCAGGCGGTGCGGCCAGGCAGCATGGAAAGGCTGGCTAGGGAAGGCTAGCCCACAGCCTCGCCCCTTTCACCAGAGACCTGGCAGTTCTGTCAAGAGCTCTGCCCACTTCACACATGCGCAAACCTCATTGGCCAAAATCTCAGCCACGAGAGGCACCATCCTCGTGGTGTACAGGTGGCAAGGTTAGTCCTATGCCTTGTGCCCTCCCCCCTGCTGAAATACAGTGTGGCCAAGGAAAACCACACAAACCAGAGCCCTTCCTGTTACTGTGTCCACCTGTTGGGAGACCGTGGGCCTGCGTTACATTCGCACCTGCTGACAGGGATTTGGAAAATGTAAAACTCCCCATCATGTCTCCCCCTCCTGCTCTGCACTCTGTGGTCTTTGGCTCTCACAAAGGTTCTGGGCCATTGATTTCAGTGCAGTTATGCCTGGTTTATGCTGGTGCGGGGGAGACTGGCACTGTTTACATCTGGGTCTCCACATCAGGCTGCCAATTTTGGTTGACCATATTCCTGGAAGTCTCATCACATGACAATCTTTAATTCCTAGAAATTCCAGGACCTTTCTTGAAGGTTTGTCAGCTCTCGGTCCAATGCATTCACTCACGTTCAAAAAAGCAATGGGTGGGTTTTTTTGGCCTCACTCCAGCACGATTGCATTGCCGCTATCACGAGGCCCGCCCTGCAGCGAAGTTTGAGCACAACCCTGTAAACATAGAGAAATGTCAATGAACCCAAAGTCAAGGCCTTTGCCTCATCACTTTCTTTTTTGCAGCACTGAGAAGAATGTGTTCAAGACTGCCTGATATAACAGCCCCCAACCCATGCAGCACTTGTGTGGCTATCTCACAGGGCAGAGTAGCCATCTGATTGTAGTAGCCGGTCACAGCAGGGTAGGTCTACACCACGAGGAAACACAACAGGCCTAGAACAAGCTGACTCAGGCTTGTGGAGCTATGGAATTGCACTATGGCCATTTGAGCTTGATCTGGAGCCTGGTCTCTGAGACGTTTCCTGCCTTACTGGATGTGTTGTTACAGTGTAGACCAATGGTCACCAACCAGTAGATCAGAATCTGAGAGCTGATCCTCACTGGTCTAGCCCAGGGGCTACCGAGTTCCGGCTCTTCAGCTGCCCCCTTCCCAACTGCTCCACTTCTCTGCCTTGGGGCTGCCCCCCAGGAGTCTCCTGCTTGCTGTTCAGGGTGGGGGAGGACGAGAAGGGAGATGCTGATATCAGCGTGTGCTCTTCTCCCCGCCCCTATACCCCACCGCTACAACATGAGCAGGGTGTGGGCCTCGGAGGAGGGACAGGGAGGGGGCAGGGCAAGGGTATTTGGGTCTGAGGTAGATCCCGGACTGACTTAAATTCAGAACGTGATCTTGTGCTTAAAAAGGCTGGGAGCCCACTGGTATAGACATACCCTTGGGCTATTAACCCTTGCCTGTGGGGCAGCACAGCAATGTCTCCAACTGTAGATGGGGAAGAGAGACCACGCGGGGTGCTCACAAGAGGGACTTCAGCACTGCAGTGCTCAGAATCCACCCTCCGGTGCAAGGGTGATTCAGACTTGGGTCTGCGGCATCCCGGGGGAAGGCTTCTAACTGCTGGGCTAAAAGTGCTACTTGGGCTATTAACCCTTGCCTGTGGGGCAGCACAGCAATGTCTCCAACTGTAGATGGGGAAGAGAGACCACGCGGGGTGCTCACAAGAGGGACTTCAGCACTGCAGTGCTCAGAATCCACCCTCCGGTGCAAGGGTGATTCAGACTTGGGTCTGCGGCATCCCGGGGGAAGGCTTCTAACTGCTGGGCTAAAAGTGCTAACGTTCCCCTGCCCAGGCCAGACACCCATGGGCACGCAGAGTTTAAGGATCCCACTGGGGCTTCACTCATGTCCAGTGTGGCGGAAAGGTAGGCCTCAGTGCCTAGGAAAAGGCCTGGAGCGCTGTCCCATTACCATGGCAACAGCAGTGGCCAGAGCCCCAGGCAGTACTGAGGGCTGAGTGGGGGAGGCAAGCCCCAGCCCCACCCCGTCCGTGTGAGGCAACGCCCCTTCCAGGGACCCCAGGGCCTGGTAAAGTCTGTCACTAGTTCTGCAGGCCACAGGGCAGCGCTGCCTCTCCTGGAAAAGCCAATGAAAACGTCTGGCATTTAAGATCTTTCTACTGCAGAAAACCTGTCTCATTCCAACAGCGGGGAGAGAGCACTTGGGAGTCTCTCTAGGGGTCGTCTACACTACAAAGTTAATTCCAACTCACAGACGTTAGTTCGAATTAACTTTGCTAGGCGCTACACAGGCAAACCGCTAGTTCAAACTTAATTCGAACTAGCGGAGCGCTTAATTCGAACTAGGGAAACCTCATTCTATGAGGACTAAGCCTAGTTCGAATTCAATAGTTCGAATTAAGGGCTGTGTAGCCATTTAATTCGAACTAGTGGGAGGCTAGCCCTCCCCAGCTTTCCCTGGTGGCCACTCTGGGCACCACCAGGGAAACTCGTCTGCCCCCCTCCCGGCCCCGG